TAGGATTAACTGTCCAGGCACCTTTAAATCACACTTTTTTCCTGCAAGGAAAAAAGTATTTCATGTAGCTTCTGTTGAAGTGTTACCAAGCAGGCGCAGTCTTTGGGAAACTAAAACTTGCATGCACAAGCAAAGCTACCAGCCAAGATCAATCCAAATTATTTACAGGTGTGGAAAAATTATTTTAAAAAAACTAACTTCTCCCAACTAACACAATCGTCTCTCTCAACCCGCCCGCTTTCGTCCTTATTTTGAGGGCCGTAATGTTTCTGCACAGGGTTCTGTCACTTAAAGCTACTGGAGCTTGAACCTACAACTCGATCTACCGCATCACTTTGCGAGTTAGTTTCGACCTCGGAAAGTGATGAGGTCAATTGTTGTTGCACAGTTTTTAACGGGGACTGCCGAGGTTGTTGACGTTTCATATAATTGTACAGCAATCTGCCAATGTGCGCTTTGATCATTGCGACCTTTTCAGCTTTCTTCCTTTTAACCCTTTACTCCCTAAGAGTGCCAAATGGCACACGTCACGTCATAATTTGTGAATATTTAAGACATCTATATGAATTTTTGCCACGAAATTGTTTTGTTGAGATATACTCATTGAAGTTAAAGAAAGTTTGACCCCTTCTATGTAAGACTTGGTTGACCACCCCGACAGAGCCTCTTCCAGGTCTTCAGTTAGTTGGGGCACAGCGCGAAAAACGTCGCCAGAAAAAAAAAAAGCGCGGCGAAAGAACGCCTGTTTTCAAACTGAACAAGAGGTCTTTCCACCTACTTATACATCGCCTTGAGGAAGGGGAGGGGGGGTGGGGCTCGAGACAGATGTTTTTGTGTGGGGCAGATGTTGGTTAAATTTTCAGTAACAAACAATAGGGTCTATGGCAACGGGTAGTCTTTTGTTTGTCCAACCAACGAAAAAGTGCCAAATAATGATACCGGTTGAGTGGAGTAGGTCAAAAATTAGAGAAACATCAAAAACTCTGTTGACATCGCGGAGTCAGAGATTAATTACGAAATATCCGTTCGTTGCTCAGTGTGGGAGTCCCGGAGCTGAACAGAAGAAGTTCACGATGGCTAATAAAACCAACATCGGCAGTAAGGACTCAAAAAGCTATAACATTACAGGAGAGAATTGGGATCGAGTGGTCAAAATACTGAATTCAATTGTCAATGGTGAAGATTACTTAACGAACGCCGTCTTCAGTATTATAATCAGCCCAGCTTCGAGCCACCTCCAGCATCCGCAAGAGTTCCAAAAGGAATTTCAGCTGACAGCAAAACCAACAGATGATCAACCTGGCAATGGCTTAATTTCCATACGGCAGGGTTCTCGATATATCGGAAGACCGTACAACGAAGAGATGGTCAAAGATCTTGAAGAAGTGTACGGTGACGATACTTAGGCGTTCGCAAGACACCTGACCACTCTCTTTCAAAAGAATGAAACCATAGCCAAATATCCTTTCGTCACTTCAGAGCTCTATATGCTTCTGCTGTTTGAAATAGGGCGACGATCAGTAAAAGATTCACCTAAGTCAACTCTTACGAAAAAGAAGCTCGACAAACTTCCAATCAAGAAAGCAATCCAAGGTATTCTGAAGCTGCTTGGCAACAAAAAGTGCAAATTCGGCGACGTATTTTTAAAAATAGGCAAATTCCACTGCTTCTCTGGCACTCCTGAGCAAAGAGAGACGGCAGCTGAGGAAATCGAGAAGGCCTTGTCAACAGTTGAGGGACGAGAAACCGAAAGTGAAATAAATGGCTCACTTCTCGAGCAATTCCAAGGCCGGTTAACTTTGGGGGAATAGTGTGTTTCAGAATAATGACTGCTAA